GAGAGAGAGAGAGAGAGAGAGAGAGAGAGAGAGAGAGAGAGAGAGAGAGAGGCACATAACGTCATCTTTAACCTATAACACAAAGACATATAAATACTCACTCATTAACATAAATGGTCAACCTCAATTTAAAGGACTATATGGAGAGGAAAATTCGTTATATCGAGGGTCCGTTATAAGCGAATCCCTCATCTAACGGATTGTATGTAGAAAGAAGTTCGTTATATGTTTGTCTGTCAGCAATAAATTCAAGTTGGATAAGTTTAGGTTTAGGAGGGAGATAGGAAGGAACTGGTTCACAAATAGGGTGGTGGACGAGTGGAACAAGCTTAGCAACTTTGTAGTAAGTGCGGGAACTCTGGAAGGTTTCAAAAGGAGGCTAGATAGATTCATGGATGAAAGAGAGTGGTAGTAACTCTCGACAGGAGCTGCCATGCACAGGCCAACCGGCCTATTGCAAACTCCTTATTTTCTTATGTTCTTAAATCGTGTACGTTTGTCTGTCAGCGTTGTGGTAAGTTCAGAAAGGTTAAGAGAAGGTCAGGAACCTCTTCAATGTAACCCTGTCTTATTAAGTTCATTAACCCTGAATTATCAACGGAGGTCTTGTTATATTGATGAGTTTTGTGCGTCCACACACACACACACACACACACACACACACACACACACACACACACACACACACACACACACACCATCTGGGTGACACCGGGTGTGCTTTCATTGCACTGAATCACTGTCTAGAATTAAAACAAATGCCTTTTTTATACTGAGGCGTTCCGGTTAGTGTTGGTGGTGAGGGTGGTGGTGTTGTTGTTGTTGTTGTTGTTGTTGTTGTTGGTGGTGGTGGTGGTGGTGGTGTTAGTGGTATAAATAAAGTGTTAAGAGAGAGAGAGAGAGAGAGAGAGAGAGAGAGAGAGAGAGAGAGAGAGAGAGAGAGAGAGAGAGAGAGAGAGAGAAATCTTAGAGTTATAACTGAACTTGATCTAATAAAAAGAGCTTCTGAACTTATTTGACCCTGTGAGAAAACTTTTGACCTTTGACCCGGTAGGAGTGAGCGAGGTAAGGATGCTGACGATGATGAAGCCTCTCCTTCTGTTCTGCGGGATACTCTTTTCCTCCTGGCGACCGACGACCTCCTACGACCCCCCTGCCAAGAACGACAACATCCTCCATCAGGTAGGTACTGAGGGGGAAAATATACCTGACGACCTCCCACGACCTCCACGACCTCCCTGTCAACGACGACCCCCCATCAGATAAATTAATTCATATTCCAACTACAATTAATTTTTCACAACTAATTCCCTTAATCGACCTCACAATTAACCCCCTTTAATTATATACACATAACCAATTTAATATCAAGATGTTAACAAAATCACCTGTGACCTTTGACCTGACCTCTTTCTTTCTTTCAGGTGACACAAGTGACCCAAGCTGACCTTCAAGTCGACCCTTCCTCTCCCCACCTCCCTAAACACGTGGGGGGCCAAGAGGGGGAAAAAGAGGAACTCGGGGAAAATATCATCTGGGAGGAAAATTTGACCCTAAACGACCAGAAGGGGAATTTCTGGTCAACTAGGGGAGAACACGGAGAGATGAGGAATAAGAGACAAACAACATCGAATAAACAAGAGAGAATAAAGAGAAAAGAAGTAGAAAATACGAATAAACAAGAGAAAACAAAACAGAAGAAGACGCAACGCAACGTAAACACAGACACCAAGAGAGTCACGAACGAAAGACGACTCAAAGAAAAGAACAAAGAAGAGAAGAAAAAGAGAACAAGAATGCAACAGAGGAAGAAACTGAAGAAGACGTTGCAGGAGGAGATGAAAAGGAATAACAGAATAAGGAGAATAATGGCTAATAAAGGAAGAACAAGACCAAATATCGTCTTCATTTTAGCAGATGATTTGGGTGAGTGTGATGTGGTGTTGGATGATTTCTTTAGTGAGTGGATGATTCGGATGATTATTTTTACCTTTGGATGATGGATGATTATTCTACCCTTAACTGATGGATGATTCGGTTGATAATTTTACCTCTAAATGATGGATGATTAGATGTAGATGATTTGGATGATAATTTTACTCTGAATTGATGGATGATTTGGGTGATAATTTTATCACTGTATGATGGATGATTTAGTTGTATTTTTTGTTTCCATTCCTTCCCTCCTTCACCGCCTCCTCCAGGATACAACGTCATCCTTTAACTAACGCCTACTCCTTCCTTCCTTCACCGCCTCCTACAGGATACAACGTTGTCCTTTAACTAACGCCTATTCCTTCCCTCCTTCACCACCTCCTAAAGGATACAACATCATCCTTTAACTAACGCTTACTCCTTCCCTCCTTCACTGCCTCCAACAGGATACAACGACGTTCCTTGGCACAACCCAGATATCAAGGCCCCCGAGCTGCTGAGACTAGCTCGTCAGGGCGTGGTGCTGGAGAACCATTACGTCTTGCCTTTATGTGGTCCTTCAAGGGCTGCCCTAATGACTGGCATCTACCCCTTCAGATATGGCAAGCAGGTCAGTCAGTCAGTTAGTCAGTCAATTGGCTAGTCAGTTATTCAGTGAGTCAGTGAGTTGGCTGGTCAATAAATGAGTCAGTCAGTAACTTGGCCTGATCAGCTAGTCAGTCAAATCAGAATCAGTGAGTCAATGAGGTCAGGGGATGAGTCAGTTGGCGAGTCAGTGAGTAGGTCAGTAGGTGAATCAGTAGATGAGTCAGTGAGTAGATCAGTGTATCAGTCTATTTGCATACCATTCACCAGCCTACTCCAGCCTGCTCACCAGCCTGCCCCAACCTGCGTTACATGAGCCTACTATCCCTGCATAATTTTTCTCTTATTAAATAACATAAAATACTCCCCCAAAATATTACCTTAACTAATTGAATCTTGTTAGTGAGGAATATTTGTCAAGTGGAAATATTACATCGTCTCTTACCATAATATCCGTAGAATAGTATTTCTTTCACCTGCTATTGTAAACACACTTTGAAGTTATTTATAAATCACGATATAATAACACTAACGTAATGTCAATAACGGAATCACAAACACAAATAATCACATATCACAAATTATAATCCTATTGTCTTCATCATTTTCCGCTATTTTATCAAGTTTTCTAGAGGTTTTACTATTTTTTCGAGTTAGTAATTGCTAGTTTATTATATTAGGTAATGTTTTTAAGCTATACTGAGTTAATACACTTTAAAAGACAATAGTTTTTTTTATATCTCAAACACAACAAACACGATGAACCGATATGCAAGCATGTGTTTGTTTATGTTTACCTTGGCGGCCATGTTGGTGTGGCAATAATGCTTTTGTTAAAGAGTTTGATGTATGGCGTCGGAAGAGAGACTTTAAAGATGGAGGAGATAATTACTTACGTTATTCTGTGCCTATTTTTCTCCCGCCGTCTGTCCGTGGCGTCCTTGGATCTCTGTGTCGTCTGTGGCAGGCGTCCTCCACCCCACTTAGTCCTACGGGCCTCAACACCTCCTTCACACTCCTCCCACAGCGCCTTCGTCAGTTGGGGTACAACACTCATCTCGTTGGCAAGTAGGTCACGCGAGTTCGTCTATCTATCTATCTATCTATCTATCTGCCTATCTATCTATCTACCTCCATCTAACTCTCACCAGGTGGCATCTCGGCTACTGCAGCTGGGCCTACACCCCTACAGAACGCGGGTTCGACTCCTTCTACGGCTATTATCTAGGCAGCCAGACCTACTTCACCAGGTACAAGAAACTCGGCCCTAAGAAAGGTTTGAAGACTATTAAGTACCCACGTATTTTAGTTTCTATTAAAAAAGTATTTATAAAAAAATATAAAAAGTATAATAAAATAAAAGTAAAAGTAAAAAAAATGATGAAAGTCAAATAAAAAAATGAATAAAAATGACTAATAAATAAAATTTCCAAAATCAAAACAATGAAAACGATAATAATAACAAGATCGACGACATTCTTCACATGACGTCACTTCCGGCAGGGTCACCATTTTGGAGGGACCAAAACCAGGTATTGGATGACCACAACCCATACCGAGGACCTCACCAGGACCCCATAGACAGTTCCCTGAAGCACCAGCACCGTCTGAAGGAGGCCACGAAGAAGAGGGAAGAGGAGAGAGAGTGGGAGAGACAACCCTGGCTCACACCCGAACACAATCAACAGGGTGGCTACGACTTCCGCTTCAACCATAAACCTGTCCTGAACACATCTGAGTTATATTCTAATGTAAGTTATGTTTTGTTTGATTGACTGGACGATTGGTTGATTGACTGACTTTAACAACTTGCCTTACTGATTTGCTTGATTAATTGATAGACAGAATGACTGACTGACTGACTGACTGACAATGCTATTTTTTCTCCACGTGAGGGATAACGTATCTCCAAATTGCTATTCACTCTTTGCGTTACCGGACATACGACCAAACCCGGACTAACACAGACCCCCCATAGTAACGCAGACTCAGACCAGACCCAACTTAAAGGGTGTCATCCTTGAAGCCCAACAGGTGAATGATGGTAATGAGGGTCACACCTGGATAAAAGGTAAGACCTCATAACAGGTAGAATAAACCCCCTTGATTGTGTCCCAGGTAACCTACAAGTCGGCCTCCTCACCTCCCTCCTTCTCCTTCACTACCCTCACCTACCCTGGCTAAAAACCCTCAACCTCCCGCTCAACCCCCTCTCTCCACAACAAATCCCCTCATTCTCACCTTCCCACAACAAATCCCCTTAACCTCCCCCCTTCACAGCAAATCCCCCTCAACACCCACTCCTTCCCGGGTAACCCCTCTCAACACCCCCTCCCTCCACTGCAAATCCCCCTCAACCTTTCCCCCTCCAAGGCAAATTCCCCACCTCCCTCCCCCCTTCCATCCCCCTGACCATCCCATTATAATTCTTTACCTTTCTGATTCATTTCTGACATTCTCAAAGACTCATGTGGAGGCTTAAGACCATATCCATCTAGCTGAACATAACAAAGGCACAAAAATGGCGTCGTAACTGCCTGAGACTCGACTATAACCCGGCACGTTCTTTGATACTCTATGATAAAGAATATAGTTTAGTGTCTTGAGTGTCTTGGGGGTCTTAGTCTTGAGGGGTCTTAGTGTCTTGGGGGGTCTTGAGTGTCTTGGGGGTCTTGAGTGTCTTGGGTTGAGTGTGTCTGTGTCTATGTTTTGTTTCAAGATCTAATAATATACGTCATTAATTAGTTGTGGTTTACATAATGAGATGTTGTTATTGTGGAGGAGGGAGGGGAGAGGAGGGAGGAGGGAAGGAAGAAGGGAAGAAGGAGGGAGTAGGGAGGAGAGGGAAGGGAGGAAAGAGAAGAAAGAAGAAAGGAGGAGGTATGGTAACGGTAGCTAAAGGGCGACAAGAAAAAACCTAACCTAACCTAACCTAACCAAAGCTAATCTAACCCTATCTTAACTTAACCTTCAGGAGCTGTACGCCGCCCGGGCTGAAGAGCTGATTAAGAGCCAGGCATCGAGGGGCACCGGCAACCCGCTCTTCCTGATGCTGTCGCTGCAGGCTGTTCACGGACCTGTCCAAGTGCCCCTCAAGTACAAGCGTCGACACAGAGCCATCAAGAACCTTCACAGACGAACCTTCCACGGTGAGTCTATCCCTCCATCATCCATCCGTCCGTCCGTCTGTCCGTCTATTTCTCTATCTATCTATCTATCTATCTATCTATCTATCTATCTATCTGTTTATCTATCTATCTATCTAGTCACCCATGTATGTATGTATGTATCTGACCACAGTATCATCACTACACTTACAGGTATGGTGAGCGCCCTGGACGAGGTGGTGAGTCGGGTGGTGAAACAGCTCAAGAAATCTCGTCTCTATGACAACACTATCATCGTCTTCACCACTGACGTAAGAGAGCATAAAGAGACGGAATATATTGTTGTGTGTGTGTGTGTGTGTGTGTGTGTGTGTGTGTGTGTGTGTGTGTGTGTGTGTGTGTGTGTGTGTAATAGACGTAAAGATAACTGAATTATAATAACTAAAATAACAGCAATGTTAACCAAATATTGACGTGACATTTCATTTTTACCTAACATCACCTACCCCTCCCTATCCTCCCTTACCCTTCCCTCACCTTCCCCTACCCTCCCCTACCTTCCCTTACCTTCCCCTACCCTCCCCTACCTTCCCTTACCCTTCTACCCTCCCCTACCTTTCCCTTACCTTCCCCCTACCCTCCTCCCCTTACCTTCCCCTTCCTCCCTACCTTTCCCTTACCTTCTCCTATCCTCCCTTACCCTTCCCTCACCTTCCCCTACCCTCCCCTACCTTCCCTTACCTTCCCCTTCCTCCCCTACCTTCCCTTACCTACAGAACGGAGGCAACATTAGATCAGGGGGTAACAACTTCCCCCTTCGAGGCAGTAAAGGGGGCGTTTTTGAAGGGGGAACTAGGGGTGTAGCCTTCATCCACTCCCCCCTTCTCCCACGGACCGGCTACAAGTACACTGGGTGAGTCATAATACGTACACAGGTTAACACGTACGTACACATGTGAGTTAAGTACAACTGCATTACTAAGACACTGTTCGTAATGATGATGATGATGATAGAACTAGAATTAATAGGAATAGGCAAACTAATTAAAAATGATAACTACAACAACAACATTAACAACAACAATAACAATAACAACAACTACAATACAATGTCACGAAAGAAAACAAAACATTCCCATCTCGTCACCATCTTGTTATTGATGGCAACAGCTGATGGAGGCGTGACGTCATCACCATGGGAGCCGTGACGTCACCAACAGGGGGGGGCAGTGACGTCACCACCTCGTGTAAACATGGCTGGGTGGTCTCTTAAAATGTCATCCTTTATTTACACACATGAACGTATCTGTTGTCTGTTGTGTCTGTCTACTTCCCTTAAGTATAAACATGTACTTATTAAATTCCTGTTTATAAAGTGAGAATATTTATAAGTGAAAGACTCGGTAAAGTAACCCATATCCTCCCCGTCTACTTATCTACTTAAGAATAAACGTAGTAGTAACGTCTTTTATAAGTACAAAAACAAGTGTAAGTATATGTTTATGTGTTGTCGATTTATTCACTTAGAATATACTTATAAACCCCTATCCATAAGTAAGAAGCAATTGTAAGTAGATTCTCTCTCTCTCTCTCTCTCTCTCTCTCTCTCTCAACCCCTCCTCCCCCCCGCAGGATGATGCACGTAGTTGACTGGTACAACACACTGCTTCACGCCGCCCATGGGACCCCTTCTACAGGAGACGAGAATAGAACTCCCCTACAGGATGATGAACCGCAGGAGGAGGACCTACCTACGTGGGCAAAATTTTCATCCTTTATGGGCCACATGGGCGTGGTAAACAGCACCATGGGAGGAGAGGAGGAAGATGAAAGCGGGAAAAACGATAGTGTGGACTTGTGGTCAGCCATCTTAGATAACAGGGAGTCACCTCGTTCGTCTTTTGTTTACAATGTGAGGAAGAGACCGCTAAGGGGCGCTATAAGGTGGGTACTGGATTAAGACTTTTCCTAAATCCCTAAATCCCTAATTATCTTACGATTTCGGGGATTTATTTAACTTACAATATCTTCAGAATTTAAATGATTATTCACCCCAAAAATTTTCGTATTTTGTTTTTAAAATTTATAGATATAATCCAGATTTTTTAACGCTCTATTGTAATTTAACTTAACATATCTTTAAATTTTGATATTATATTATTTTTTTTTGCCATTTATGGGTTATTTCATCTTAGTTTAAGATTTTAGAAGGAAAATTCTGATATATTTTTTTCATAACGTCCATAATGACTACCATGCCTTCAATAATCGCTACCATGATGCTTATGACCACTGCCATAAATACCATGAACTCTAATAATAATTACTACTACCATAACTACCATGAACTCTACCATTACCATGACCTGACCTTCTGACGGTGCTCCCGCAGACGTAAGAACTGGAAGCTGGTGGTGGGTGACGGTGGGCGGTACGATGGGTGGGTGCCGCCGTCAGATGTGGCCGGGGGAGTCAGTACTCGTTGTTGCTCTAGCTGGCACGCCCGCACGCCCGCACATAACGTCATGCTCTACAACCTCAAAGGTGAGTCGTATTTACCTGTAGAAACATCATTAATCCCTCAATTACCTGTAAAAAAACGCCCACCGCAAAAAAACGTTTCAATCACCCGTGAAAAAACGTAAAGAAGTTTAATTTACCTGTCGTAATACTAAATAACATCGAGTATATAACAACGTCTCTATAGTCATGTTTACGATCACATTCTATGACGTTGGTAATTTTAATAACGTTTTATTCTGCCAATTTAACAAAACATTCTAAAGACCCATTACTACCTGTGTGTATAACAAGGCCACTCACTCCTAACTCTTCTCTTCTCCACCCTTCACCCCATCAGATGACCCGCTAGAGACAACGAACGTGGCTTCTCTGAGGCCTGACGTGGCAGCTAACCTGCAAGCACAACTCCGCTCCTACGCCTTCCAGAGCCGTCACCCACACAGTCCTCAAGATGACCCCAGAGGACACCCCAACCTCCACGGGGGGTTCTTCTCCCCAGGGTGGTGTCAGCCCATCGTGTGAACCCCTGGGAGTGGACACGAAGCCGCCCTACGAACCCCTGGGGCTACATGGTTCAAAACACCTCCCTTAATGGTGTCATATTTATTGATTTCTTAACTGTTTATGGAGTCGAGGTTCCGTACATGTGTTTGTTTACTGTAATGTTGTGGGACGAGTTCAGATACACAGGTAAACAACAAAAACAACAACAACAACATCTTCATCATCAAAATAACACCTGGATACTCCTCATTATCTCAGGTGTACCTTAATGAACACACCTTAATCAATAACTAACCAGAAATACAACACCGTCACCTTACCTGAACCACAACACAACTCACCTTCATAACCACAACCTCGAATGTTTCCTTTATAACTCTACAAGGTTATAGGATACATCTTTGTACCCTTTTGGGCTTTCATCTTGAACTAAGGTTTCTCAGAGCCATTCATTCCGGCATAACATTCCTATTTCATATCGGAGTTTAAACGATCAGATTCTCAGAGGCTCTTACGTGAAAAAAAAAAAAATTATGGTAAAAAAAAAAGGTGAAATTTGATGATTTAATTGATTTTTGTATTTTTTTATATTTTATAATTTATGGTTTATTATATAGAACCAAATATAGGTTTAATTTTGCTTACTGTTTTATGCTTTGAGGGGGAGGAGGTAAAACGTGTGTGTGTGTGTGTGTGTATATCATCCTAATGAAACAAACAGTATTAGTGTTATACGACTCACTGTACATACATACATACATATATACACGTTATCTATGTATACCTCTACCACTACATTCACTCATCATACACTTAAACAGTCACAGAATTAGACAGATTGACGGACAAACAGACAGGCAGACAAACAAATAGGTGGACAGACACATGCACAGACAGACGAACAAGTTCACAAACATAAAGAAAAACACTCAAACAAACCAACGAAAAGACACACAAATAAACATACACAGACTCAAACATACAAACAAACACATAATCAGACACAAACACACAAACAAGCAAACAAACACACTCAACCACACATAAGCACTACCACAAAAACTCAAACAAAAACAAACACAGTCAAATAAGAAAACAACCTCAAACAAACACACAGACACACACAAATACAAACACAATTCAAATTCGTAATCTATATCTTCTGTGTATGAAAATTTATATCATATAAATAGTGAAGGTTTAGTGTATATAGATTCTTTTCTTTGAGTTTATTATATAATGTTTATGTTTACCTGAGTGCTAATTAGTCCTATTGTAAAGGTAAAAATAATAAAGTCTTTTAAATGTTTACTTTTATGAGTGCTTGTATTCATTCCTTTTAACGTATGTGTGTGTGTGTGTGTGTGTATGTGTGTGTGTGTGGTGTGTGTGTGTGTGTGTGTTTGTGGTTGTCATTCTCAAGGTGATTAATCAAGCCACAAATGACGCAACTATCCTTAACGAATTATCATACATACTAATTCATCTACCTGTTGCTAATTCATCTCAACATACAGTCAGTTGTCACAGGTAGACATGAGGCTCTGGACAAGACATGAGGTTAATTAAAATAAGAGAGTGAAGTGACATCGGGAAATATCTTGATATACTTGTAACAGCTGACTTTTTTCTCATTACCTGTTACGAAAGACATGTGGGGGGGTGAGGGGTGTATGGGGTTGTGGGAGGAGGGGTGTGTGTGTGTGGGTGGGGTGTGGAGGGAGGGAGGTGTGTGGGTGGGGTGTGGGAGGGAGGGAGGTGTGTGTGTGTGGGTGGGGTGTGGGAGGGAGGGAGGTGTGTGTGTGGGAAGGATATGTGTGTGTATGTGTGTGTTTGTATGTGTGTGTGTGTGTGTGTCGGCCTTGAGATATAAAGTGTTCTTTCCCACTACCTGTTGTCATGAGAGCCACCAGTCACCACACCCTCTCTCTCTACACTGTGTGGTGACAGTTTGACACAGGGTGGGGACTGTCCTAACGTGATTTTGAGGCCAGGTCCGTGTGGTGGGGCTGCCTGTGGTGGGGGCTGCCTGTGGTGGGGGCTGCCTGTGGTGGGGCTGATGCTTACTTGTTCAGAGAGGGAGATTTCATCATATCATTGGCTGGTGTGGGTGAGGGTAAGGACTCTAGGGAGGTGGGCGTCGAGGCTAACAGGTATGACCGGGATTACAGTTATGCTTCTCAGTGGGTTAGGTTAGGTCAGGTCAGGTCAGGTTAGGTTAGGTTAGGTTACGTTACGTTACGTTACGTTACGTTAGGTGAGATGTTTTCCACGCCCCCCCCTTTCCTTCACCCCTAACACACCTCGATAAAGAGTTTACCTTTTAAATAAGAACATAAGAACATAAGAAAATAAGGAGTCTGCAGTAGGCCGGTTGGCCTGTGCATGGCAGCTCCTGTCGAGAGTTACTACCACTCTCTATCATCCATGAATCTATCTAGCCTCCTTTTGAAACTTTCCAGAGTTCCCGCACTTACTACAAAGTTGCTAAGCTTGTTCCACTCGTCCACCACCTTATTTGTGAACCAGTTCCTTCCTATCTCCCTCCTAAACCTAAACTTATCCAACTTGAATCCGTTGCTCCGAGTCCTATCCTGCTCGGATATTATAAGAACTTTATCTATATCCCCTTTATTGATTCCTTTCACCCACTTAAATACTTCTATCATATCTCCCCGCACTCTTCGTCTTTCTAGGGAATGCAAGTTAAGTTTCTTTAACCTATCCTGATATGGAAGGTTTCTAAGTCCCGGAATCATCTTTGTCATTCTTCGCTGCACCGACTCTAGTGAATTTATATCCATTCTATAATAGGGGCACCAGAACTGAACCGCACAATCGAGGTGCGGCCTGACTAGCGCAAGATATAGTTGCAATAAGACCTCTGCACTCTTGTTACTTACACTTCTAGATATAAGACCCAATACTCTGTTTGCCTTATTTCGAACATTAACGCACTGTTTTCTAGGGCTTAGGTCGGGCTTCAAGTACCCTAGGTCTCTTTCACAAGTCGACTTCTCTAGGTTGATGTTGTTAAGGCTGTATACATTATCAGTAAACTTAATAAACCTAACGTAACCACCGTAATGTTAAAATAGGTTATCAGCAGGTGAAAGGGGGGAGGGTAGATAAGTCTGTAGGTGATTCCTCCTTTTCTTATCACGTCCCCCCCCCCCTCCCCTTAGCACTATCAGGGGTATTTAAGGGAGAGGAACAGGTGGTTGAGGTAGGGTATTGGTTCGTCTCTTGAAGGTGAGTCTGTCTGTCTGTCTGTCTATCTGTCTGTCTGTCTGTCTGTCTGTCTGTCTCCCTAAAACAGTAACACCTTAAAACTCTTCCCCAGATTACATGATGGTGACGCGTGTGATGGTGACGGGTGTGATGGTGACGGTGATGGTGATGGTGGTACAGGGGAGTCCATTCCCCTCTGACCACTGGGGAATGAACATGACTACGGTAGGTGATGGTGGGGAGAGGAAATGTGTTGGGGTGAGGGGGGATAGGGGAGTTAATTTTACTATGGTGGGGAGAGGAGGGGTGTAGGGTGAGGAAGATGGGGAGTTAATTTTATTATGGTGAGGAGAGGAGGCGTGTAGGGTGGTGGGGTTTGGGTGTTAATTTAATTATGGTGAGCTATAATGGGGAGAAGGGGAGAGGTGTATGGGGTGAGGAAGATGGGGAGTTAATTTTACAATGGTGGGGAGAGGAGGAGTATGGGGTGAGTAAGATGGGGAGAAGTCTTAAAAAAAACCACTACTTGGTATTTTTTTAACTTGATATAGAGAAAACAACCAAAAAAATACATATCTCTTTTCACTATTTTCTATTTCTTTTTTTCACTCTATATCTCCCCTCCCTCTCTCTCTTTAACCCCCTCTCTCTCTCTCTCTCTCACTCTCTCACTCTCTCTCCAGCCTGAGTTAATAGAAGCCAATGGTTACCCCGTCGAGATTCACCACCTCACTTCAGAAGACGGCTACATTCTGGAACTACATCGCATCCCACACGGTAGATCTGGACCCTCTGAGAACCGCCCCGTGGCTTACTTCGAGCATTGCCTCCTCTGCTCCTCCTCCGACTACCTCATGAATGAACCTGAGAAGGCCATAGGTGAGACAGAGAGACACAAAGACACATAGAGAGATAAACAGAAGGTGAGATACAGAGAGAAAGACATAGAGAGATGGAGAGATACAATTACTAGCCTTTAAAGACTATCTAACTCATCTATGACCTTCCTGATAGGGTATATGATGGCTGACGCTGGTTATGACGTGTGGCTTTCTAACATGAGAGGCAACACGTACTCAAGGAATCACACGACACTCAATCCAGAAGACGTCGAGTTTTGGAAATTTTCGTGAGTTACCCCTGAGACGTTTTCTTTGATATCTCGGGCGTTTATAAAATTATAACGTTAACTTTGATGTTCTGAGTTGCTAGATAGATAGATTGGTGATGATATCCAACAACCGAACAATGTAAAAACACAATGGTAAACAGTAAGTCAGTATTAACCTCCCACACACACATATATTTTGTATTGTCTTAAGGGTTTCATTTTTTTATTCTCAGGTGGGACGAGATGGCACGTTACGATGTCCCCGCTAGCATCGACTACGTGTTAGGTGAGACGGGAGCCGATGGAGTGTATTACGTCGGCTGGAGTATGGGAACGTCTGTATTTTGGGCGCTAATGAGTGATAAGCCTGAGTATAACGATAAGGTAAGGGTGAGGAGTGGGTGGGAGGGAGGGAGTGGGTGAGGGAGGGACAGGGTGGGGTGGGGAGTGAGGGAGGGACGGAGGGAGGGAGAGGGTGAAGGAGGGAGAGGGTGAGGTGGGGAGTGAGGGAGGGAGGGAGGGAGAAAACATATCTAGCCTATATCAAATAAAATGTCTTAGAATTATGTATTAGTACTATACACCACTCACCATAACCACCACCATAATCTCACACCATCATGGCACCATCCGCAGATTAAGGCAATGGCAGCTATGGCACCAGTGGCATATACAGAAAATACGAAGGGCATAATGAGGGAATTGGCACCATTTTCTCATGATATCGATGTAAGTATGGTACTTCACTATAATTTACCATGAGTCTCTATAACTATGGTGAGTCATTATAATCTCAGTATGTCTTCAAGGTCATAGTTACCCCTCCCATCTCTCCCATCTCTCCCACAGTTAATGACGTCCTTGTTGGGAGTGGGAGAGGTCCTTCCCAGCAATGAACTGATGGACTATATGGCTGAGCATTACTGCGCTGTGGAAGATCAATACGTTGAGGTCTGTTATAATTTCCTCTTCCTCCTGAGTGGTCCAGATCCCGATCAGATTCCTAAGGTGAGTGGGGTGAGTGGGATAGGAGGGGTGGGCTGGGGTGGGGTGGGGAGGGGAGGGGTGGTGTGGGGTGGTGTGGGGTCAGAGGGTGGTGTGGGGTGAGTGGGTGGGGTGAGTGAATGGGTGATGAGTTATAGAAGGTGGGTGGTGGGTTATAGAGGATGGATGGGATGGGGTGGGTGATTGAGAGGGTGGGTGGTGACCTACTCCCATCGTCTGCTACCCATTAACCTTCCTTCCTCGCCTCCTACAGGAATTCCTGCCGCTGATCGTGTCCCATATGCCTGCTGGTACCTCAGTCCACACCATCCTCCACTTTGAACAGCAGATCCCCGCAAGTAAACAAACGTGACCACTAAATCCCTGGACCCGAAACCTGCCCTAACTTGTCCTTAACTGTAGCTAGTCTAACGTACCCTTAACTTAACCTAACTTATTTTGATCTTCATCTGCTTGTATAACTTATTCTTAAAGTAAAATAATTAAGATCTAATTTAAACTAACCTAACTTAACCAATTTGTAACCTAACCTAACTTAACCAATTTGTAACCTAACCTAACTTAACCAATTTGTAACCTAACCTACATATTATAGTGTAAATAAACCCAACCAAAACAATAACACACCTGTAATAATCGATCACAAAGGTACTCTACGTCTTGTGTTCCTTTACAGAGAAGTTTCAAATGTACGACTTTGGTGCCATTGGTAACCTGGAGCACTATGATCAGGACACACCTCCCATCTACAACCTCAGCCGTGTTACTGCTCCCGTTGGCCTCTTCTGGGGGAACACAGATTGGCTAGCTGATCCCACGGTACTGTCTGTCTGTCTGTCTGTCTGTTGAGGTGTTTCTGTGGGGGTTTGATGAGTGTTTGAGGTGTGTGTGGGGTGTGTGTGGGGGGAGTGTTTGTGGGAGTGTGTGTGTGGGTGTGTGTGTGTGTGGTGTGTGTGGGTGTGTGTGTGTGTGTGTGTGGGGTGTGTGTGTGTCATTGCGTGTCTGCGTGTACGTATTTAACCTAACCAATCTTAACTGATTCTAATTTACTTCAACTTAATTTAACTTAACGTAATATAACTCAATCTAATCTAACCAAACTTAACTGAACCTCCTTTAACCTAATCAAACCTAACCTAACTTAACCTAACTCCACACAGGACGTAGCAAGGCTGGCATCTGAACTACCCAACGTGGCACTTAACTTCAACGTTAACAAGACGCAGTTTAACCACCTTGATTTTGGCTGGTAAGATTTTATGTCCATACACTCACCCTAAGAACCTAACCTAACCTAACCTAACCTAACCTAACCTAACCTAACCTAACCTAACCTAACCAAGTCTAAGTAAGCCTAATCTAACCTAACTTAGCCTAACCTAACTTAATCACTAATCTTATTTAACTCTCTCATTCTCCCTCACTCTCCCTCTCTCATTCTCCCTCACTCTCATTTCTCCCTCCTCTCCCCTCTCTCATCTCCTCCTCTACCTCTCATTCTCTCCTCCTCCTCCTCCATCTCCCTCCTCTCCCTCTCTCATCTCCCCTCACTCTCCCTCTCTCATTCTCCCTCACTCTCCCTCTCTCATTCTCCCTCACTCTCCCTCTCTCATTCTCCCTCACTCTCCCTCTCTCATTCTCCCTCACTCTCCCTCTCTCATTCTCCCTCACTTTCCCTCTCTATCAGGGGTATCGACGCAGACAAGTACGTTTACCAACACATCCTTGAGTTCTTCGCCGGCTACTGAAGAAGGCGTAGGAGGAGGGACGAGATATAGTGACTCCCGTATAGGCAGCGTGGTGAGGACCTGGCCAGACACAGAAGAGAAATGATGATAAATGAATAAAGACGAATAAAGATGAATAAGAAGATAGAATGAGATTAATTAACATAAATCATTAAATGTAAATAATTATACCAAGAATTATGAGTGAATGAAATAGTAAACTTGAATGAATAAATAAGAAATAGGGTATTAATAGTGGTGGTGTTAGTGCTAGTAATTGTGGTAACCGCTAGTAGTGTTGATGGTGGTAGTGTTAGTAGTTGTGGTAGGTGTTGCTATTGGTGATGGTAGTGGTAGGAGTGTTATTAGTAATGGTGGTAGGTGGTGCTAGCAGTACTGATGATAGTAATGTTTGTAGTTGTGGTAGATGCTAGTAGTAATGGTGGTGGTGGTGGAAGGGGTTCATTATCACGCACACACGCACACAACACACACACAACACACACACACACACACACACACACTTGGGAAGACACATTGCACAAGCGAGAACAAGAAACTGGTATAAGCGATTAATGTTTTTATGGTGTGCACGTGTAGGTAGGAGAGGGGTGGGGGGTAGGGAGGGAGTGAGGGAGGGAGAGAAGGTTACGGAGGGAGGTAGAAGCCAAGTGTGTGGGGGGGTGGGGGGGAGGAGGAGGGGTCGGGGTTCCTCAGGTAGACACTATGACGGGTTAGAGCGGCAGGTAATCCCCAGGTGTACTGGTATTATGAAATATTTAATCGTGACGTCAGTTTTAAAAGTTCATTGGAGTATTTTCGTCTTTTAATTTTGTTCTTTGTCTATAAGAGAACTTTTGTTATTGTTGTTATTTATTTGGTTATTTTTTTGCTGTTATTTAATCGTTTTTGGCCATTGTTATGTTGTTGTTATTATTTTGTTATTGTTGTTGTTATTTATTTGGTTATTTTTTGCTGTTATTTATATTATCATTGTGTCTATTGTTATTATTGGTGTTATTGTTGTTATTGGTGTTGTTTTTTTATTGTTGTTGTTATTGTTATTATTGTTGTTATTTGTTGTTGTTATTATTATTTTCCCGACTGAGTTAAGCAAGAAAGACAGTGTACATTAGACAGTAAATAACAGACATTAGACAGTAAATAACAGACATTAGACAGTAAATAACAGACATTAGACAGTAAATAACAGACATTAGACAGTAAATAACAGACATTAGACAGTAAATAACAGACATTAGACAGTAAATAACAGACATTAGACAGTAAATAACAGACATTAGACAGTAAATAACAGACATTAGACAATAAATAACAGACATTAGACAGTAAATAACAGACATTAGACAATAAATAACAGACATTAGACAGTAAATAACAGACATTAGACAGTAAATAACAGACATTAGACTGATAAATAAAAAGATAGACAGTAAAATAACAGACATTAGACAGTGAAATAACAGACATTAGACAGTAAATAAAAAGACATTAAGACAGTAAATAACAGACATTAGACAGTAAATAACAGACATTGAACCTTGATAAATAACAGACATTAACAATGTAAATAACAGACATTAGACAGTAAATAACAGACATTAGACAGTAAATAACAGACATTAGACAGTAAATAACAGACATTAGACGATAGACATTAGAAGTAAATAACAGACATTAGACAGTAAATAGACAGATATTAAATAACAGACATTAGACAGTAAATAACAGACATTGACAATACAAATAACAGACATTAGACAGTAAATAACAGACATTAGACAGTAAATAACAGACATTAGACAGTAAATAACAGACATTAGACAGTAAATAACAGACATTAGACAGTAAATAACAGACATTAGACAGTAAATAACAGACATTAGACAGTAAATAACAGACATTAGACAGTAAATAACAGACATTAGACAGTAAATAACAGAAATTAGACAGTAAATAACAGACATTAGACAGTAAATAACAGACATTAGACAGTAAATAACAGACATTAGACAGTAAATAACAGACATTAGACAGAAGAAACACACTTTTCATAGGGTAAATTAACCTCCCCTAAATTAACTTCAGGGAGAAAATTAATAAAACAAAAGATTAACAAATTATTTAACTAAGATGAAAAAAGTAAAGAAAAATTAGTTTGTCAGGTGTGTATGTATGTGTGTGTGTGTGTGTGTGTGTGTGTGTGTGTTATGGACGTGTGTTGGGGAGGGTGTGTGTGTGTGTGTGAGGGGGAGGGTGTGTGTGTGTGTGTGTGTGTGTTGACGTTGGTTTCTGAATAGCTAAAAGCCATAATTGAGAAGGAATAAATCTGCCAATTACATAACAGCACTAAATAACCTTACGACCACATATATTTTTTCTACAAGACAACGTGAAACCAGGAAGGGAAATCCATTAAAAAACCTGAGAATCTACCAAACAACCGTTCACCTCGTCTCTCAAACTGACTCTCTACTGGGCAAAAAACCACTCACCTCTTCAACTCTTAATAAGTGAGAAAGTTGATTTGCCACTCCGAGGATTTCCCACATCGACTCCTACGGCTTATTTGAATTTATACCGGGTAATACCTGGTACATTCTCCTAATTATCTGTTTTCTGCCTTCTGTCTGTCTGTTGGGTTATTTTATATGTTTGCTTGTCTGTCCTTCTGCCTGTCTGTCTGTCCTCTGCCTGTCTGTCTGTTCACTGTCTAGAGTCGCAACATTGCCATTGCGACAAGAGAGTCTTGGAACACTGTAGGAGGCGGGGGGTAATCATCCTTTTCGCATATTCCTATCCTCTCTCCTATCCTTTCTTTCTAACCATCTTCCCCTTGTTCCTATCCTCTTCCGCCTCCTCTCCTATCCACTCCTTCAGCAACGGAATTCCCATCGTAGAAACAGGTTTGGGAGGTGGACGGGGCGAGGTGTGTGTGTGTGAGTTCCTGTTAGGCGTTGCATCGTGGCAATCCCCAGCTTATTGCACAGACACGCCCCCTTTTCCCCTCTTGCAACATATTTATACCTTTTGTTGAGGTAAGGATGAGTGTAATAATAATAGTAATAATAATAATAATAATAATAATAATAATAATAATAATAATAATAATAATGATAATAATAATAATAATAATAATAATAATAATAATAATAATAATAATAATAATAATAATAATAATAATAATAATAATAATAATAATAATAAAAATCAATAGATACAAAAATAATTACATTAAATACAGACAGGTGTACAACAGGTGTTAATTAAGGTAGGGGGTGCGCGGGAAAATATTTGTTTACCTTCTTTGTTGAGGTCGGTTAGAGTACAAAGACCAACTTTATCAAGAAACGGAAATGACGTAATATAACCTTGCGTAGTATGATATTTTTGTCGTATTCTCCCTGAAATGGTGGTGTATTCTCCCTTCCATGTACTCCCTTTATGGATATGTGTGTCTCCCAATCTCCCTTTGTCTTCTGTGCCTCTTTGTGTGTGTGTGTGTGTGTGTGTGTGTGTGTAAGGGAAACATTCACCTGTAATATCCCTTAAAGAGAGTCACCAACTAATCACACACACACACACACACACACACACACACACACACACACACACACACACACAGCCACCATCATGTACCACCAACTTCACATTCACAATAACTTTCTTCAGTATTTCCCCAGAACTTTCCAAAACAACATCGTAAAATATTCCCCCCAACTTTCCCTAGTAACAGTTAATCTCCCTGATATATTATGGGTTTTTTCCCCCCAGGTTCATCGTCCTCTTCCCTGAACTTTCGTTACTCTTCCCCGCACCACTTACTCCCTCCAGCGTGTTTTTACCCCAGACAACGCTTGGGTTTGGTGGGGGAATTTCCCGGTAAAGTCATGAAATGATTTTTGTCTTCTGAGAATTATTTTGCATCGAATGACTCTTAGCGGTTAATACCTTGAAGATTTTGTTCTGGAGTTTAGTAATGATTACGTAACAAATTTTATGGAATTACCTGTGAACTTAGACACCCGGGCTTATTTCACCTGAGGATTATACACTCCTAACTCTATCTAAGGGGGGTTAGGTTAAGTTAGGTTAGGTTACGTTACGTTAGGTTAGATAATGATAGGTTGCCTTAATTTTCAGGTGATCCAATTTATATATTTTTTACGCATACAAGCCTTATTCTATTATGAAATGAGACTTTATTTACATAGTGGATTATTGATACACTACGCCTTTTCATCGATCGGGGGGTGGGGTGGGGTGGGGGGGGGCCTGTGTTGACACTGATAAATATGAGTAGCAAAGGACACCACCTTACAGCGCCCGACGGGTAGGTGTGGCGGGAAGACGAACTACACTAATAATATTGACCTTTGATGGGGGTTGCAAGTTGGTCTCCTTCGTTAACCTGATCCATATTTATATTTTATTGGGTGTTTATAACAAATGCAATTAATAAACAAATATATTTTTAAGAGACTTCTGTTTTGTTTACCGCCAAGATCAATCCCGTTCACCTGTTACTAATGAACTTATGACCTGCTTTACCTTCATCAGGCTCATTTGCTACCACCAGCGTTCGTAAACCAATGCACATCCGGCACAACAACCATACGCTTAACATGACCCATAATGCACTTGTAAAGGGGACAGTCAAAAATACGTCGAGATCTGGGAGCAAGACACATCACCCAGCAGCTACACACCCTGGACTACACACCCTGGACTACACACCCTGGACTACACACCCTGGACGGACGAGTTTAACAAGAAATAAAACAGCTTGAGCAAGAATTCCTACAGACTCCAGCAAGTAATGATAACAGCAAAGTTAGTTAGACCTCAAAAGTCAGCCAAACCCCAAGGCGGCCATCACTAACCTTGATCTATAGCACCAGGGAACACACAACCTCTCCTATAGCTGGTCTAACACACACACACACACACACACACACACACTACAGTACCTTATCTGTCGCCGGATCTGTTAGTACTTCCGGTAGTGGTAAGTCCTAGTTCCCTCTTGAGAGTTGTCCAGTGAACTGAAAAAAAAAAATTATGAACCTGTTTTAATCCCGTTTCTTATTGAAGCACTGAAGAACATACAAACATGAACAATAACAACTACAACAACAACAGCAATAACAACAACAACAACTACTACAACAGCACCTACAACAACAACCAGAAGAATATACAAACAACAACAAATACTGCTACAACAATAACAACAACCAAAAGAACAAACAAACAACAATAACAACAACCAAAAGAACAAACAAACAACAATAACAACAACCAAAAGAACAAACAAACAACAATAACAACAACCAAAAGAACAAACAAACAACAATAACAACAACCAAAAGAACAAACAAACAACAATAACAACAACCTGAAGAACACGCAAACAACAACAACAACCTCACATAACCCCACGAGTACAAACAACCATAGATAACAATTCAATCATAATTTTCTTTTACATAATCCAACAACACTTGTTATCTATAACCATCACAACACAATAAGACTCGTATAAAACAGATGGACTCACCAATGACGTAATCAAGTGCCTCATGTCAGGGGTTGGGTGAGAGGGTTAAGTGTGTTGTGAGGAGAAGGGGGAGGAAGAGACAGGCTGCTACTATCTCTCAAACCACATACATAGATACTGAGCCTCTTGGTAACTGTTAAGTGATTATTAACCTTCTTTCATCTGCCAAACGTATGAGTGTTTTTTTTTTTCTCATTTGATTTTTTTTTATTTTCTCATTTGACTTTTTTTTAAGTTCTCTTTTGACTTTTTATTTTCTCATTTGACTTTTTTATTTTCTCATTTGACTTTTTTTATTTTCTCTTGTGACTTTTTATTTATTTTCTCTTTTGACTTTTTATTTTCTCATTTGACTTTTTGTTTATTTTCTCTTTTAACTTTTTTATTTTTTCATTTGACTTTTTATTTATTTCTCATTTGACTTAGGTGATATTCATGGTGATCGTTTAACATACGATTTAATAAAGTAACGACACTTAATAGTTAATTTAAGTGGATGAGAATTAATTAGGTAAGTTGTTTTTATGTTTATTTTTCACTATATATTCAAAGGTGTTGTGTATAAGTTGTTTTTGTTTCATCTTTGGTGTGAACAGTAGGTAAGGAAGTTAGGCAATAAGATACTGGGTAGTAATCGTTAAGGGGTTTTATTTTATAATACATTTTATTATACAAAACACACATACAGAAATAATTATATAATAAGGAGGGGTTGTTGTACACCTCAAGTCTCAGGTGTAGGTGTTTGTAAGGCTCTAGCCGTGGGTCCTCTTGCTGCAGCAGTAGTACTTGCTGGTGATCTCGGTGTAACAGTAGTACCTGGGACAGTCGCCGGAGTTATAGGAAGGTCTGGTGTCGTAGAGCGTATAACCCGGCACGATGTTGGGGTAGTGGGCGGGGTCGTGGCTGGTTGTGGTTGACCCTCCACGAACATCTACTTTCAAAAGAATTCCAGAACCGTGGACATCAGTGCCATGGGAGGCTCCACCGTGGACATCAGTGCCATGAGAGGCTCCACCGAGGACATCAGTGCCATGAGAGGCTCCGTCAAGGACACCAGTACCATGGGAGGTTCCACCAAGGACACCAGTGCCATGGGAGCTTCCGTCAAAGACACCAGTGCCATGGAAGCTTCCGTCAAAGACACCAGTGCCATGGGAGACTCCACCAAGGACATCAGTGCCATGAGAGGCTCCGTTAAGAACACCAGTGCCATGGGAGGCTCCACCAAGGAGACCTGTGCCATGGGAGACACCACCATGAACAAGAGTGGCCACAGGTCTACGGCCACCATGTAGGCCACTGGTGGAATGACCATAAGGGCGGCGTCGACCACCGTAGGAGCCATGAGGACTGGCGGCCGCCAGGGAACTCAGCACCACCAGGAGCAACACCACACTGCCCTTCATCATCATGCTGTAACAAACACCACTTTTACACTTTCTGTATATTATAAAGATTTATCATTAGCTGACAAGATATAACGCAAGACTTACTACAACTTGTGGCGTCTCCTGCAGACGTAGACGTACCCTTCCTAAGGCACGTCTTGAGGGTCCAGATACAGTGATATAATATCATAGTTACTTACAGTATCTTCGTTCCGGTGAAACTAAGCTAACTTAAAATGTTACCAGACCATCGACACCAGATGACAGTCAACTAGGTGACCTGGGTCATGACCAGAGCCTCCCGCCCTCTGGTGGCCGAGGAGTAACGCTCATCAGGGATAATCGTACACCTACTCCAGGGTCTGTCTCCGTTACTTTACAAAGTTAGGCATTTAATAAACAATTTCAAGTAAATATTTAACTAAATTTTATAAACTTTTGTACTAAAGTTAGTTTATAAAGAGAGTTGTTCTGGATATATAACTCCTCACCTTGTTGTGTTGTGAGCCACAAGTGTTGTGAGTAGTAACAGAGCCAACCAGTGTTATATACCCCGCCCGCTGCTGCGTTACTTCAACAAAACATAATATTGTATTCCTGGAAATCCCTGCAGTTGCCAGCAACCGACCGCGACTACCGGCACTATCAAAGTTCACTATTTATATTAACACACACACACACATATATGTAATATATATATATATATATGTGATAACTGCATAACATGTTCTATACTGTGTATTATTCATCATCACTTTTGTATTTCTGTGAAGGGAGGGAGGGAGGGGTCGACACCTCTCTGGCTGGACGAGATATTTTCCAGGTATTTCGGGTGAGGAAACTCCACCTTACACAAGCGGCTGTAATAGACGTTTTTCTGGACATATTTACTGGTTCCTTATATCTTAACGTAGCCTAATGTACTGTAACTAGTTATAGTCTGGTAATATCCGGCTCTAGAGGTGTGTGTGTGTGTGTGTGTGTGTGTGTGTGTGTGTAACTATATAATCCACAGCAACTCTCTTAAGAACATAACGTTAGTACCAAGACAAATTTAGTTAAACATTTTCTGTGTGTCTGTACCACCTTATTCTCTGTGGAATACGGAATCACTGTAGTCTAATGACATAATACAGATGATTTATACACTAAAAGGCCTTATACGACTTTGCTCCAGCGCCTTAACTCGTCCCTCCATGCTCCGGGTCCGTCTCTGTTCGCCTATATACGCAAGAAACACGAGTATGATACTAAGAATATATAACTTATACAAATGGTGTAGATGATATACAGACTTTAACAAGACTTTGTGAACACAGACTCGCTGAGGTGTTGACTATGTGTTGTGTGGAGGAAGAATTATTATAAAGACTGACAAATATTTTAGATGTAAATGTTTGAGTATTTTAGAGACGTTTGCAATATCATATATGGGTCGAGGCTCCACCTTCCTCCTCTCATAAAACAAATTTACGGCCAAATACCTGGGCGTAATCACAGCTTGATATAGATGACGTAGATACTGTAAGTTATATAAATCATTGATCCTCTACTGATAATTGTAAACTAAACTAAATGCAAATAATAAAAGTAACAATGTTAAATATCAGTTTAGACTAACAAATTCAACAGTAATATTTTGCTTCAAAAATAAGCCGTATGGAACCCGATAGTCTCACCAAAAGTGCAAGCTTCCGCCATCTGTTAGCAAAATAATGAACTTAACGTTGGCGTCGCCAAGGAGAAGACAGTAAATGTAATTTAATGTTTTTTACCGATATACGTCATCTTTCACGAGTGATTTTACAATATACAGGTGTTGGCGGAGGTAATGAAGAGTTTACCTTCCCGGGGTCGTGTTTAGATACTGTACACTAAAATAAAAGACAACGGCAGGAGAAAATCTTAAACTTACGATAATTTTCCACCTTTAGTAGTCAAGTGAACCTAAATGACTTATTTGGTAAACATTTGCATATGAAATATTTGATATAGAAAAATGATACACTTATCTACATGGAGGTAGGATATATTACTTTAATAGGGTATTGATTAGAGAAGCAGGATATACCGTTGTTTATCAGGTCGGCAGGATACGTGATGCATTTGTGACTCGTGATATTTGGTATAGGTTAAGTAAGGACAATATTGCTAGACTATGTCACATTGTCTCATAAATGATCCAAGAGGCTGTTCTTACCGTGAGTCAGACGAGTATAGTGAACATTAACTAAATTCCATGTTATTTCTAAACTCAACTCCAAGGTGACCTGAAATTAAACTTACGTTTAATCTTACGGACTAATACCTAACTCAGTACCTGTACGGCTCTGAGCAAATCTGCCAAGGCCTTTCCTGCCATCACCACCACAACCACCGGCCCCGTCGCCTTCACCACCAACACACTCATACATTTTCTGTGTGTCTGTACCACCTTACTCTCTGAGGAATACAGAATCACTGTAGTCTAATGACATACTACAGATGATTTATACACTAATAAGACCTTATACGACTTTACTCCAGCACCTTAACTCGTCCCTCCATGCTCCGGGTCCGTCTCTGTTCGCCTATATACGCAAGAAACACGAGTATGATACTAAGAATATATAACTTATACAAATGGTGTAGATGATATACAGACTTTAACAAGACTTTGTGAACACAGACTCGCTGAGGTGTTGACTTTGTGTTGTGTGGAGGAAGAATAATTATAAAGACTGACAAATATTTTAGATGTAAATGTTTGAGTATTTTAGAGACGTTTGCAATATCATATATGAGTCGAGGCTCCACCTTCCTCCTCTCATAAAACAAATTTACGGCCAAATACCTGGGCGTAATCACAGCTTGATATAGATGACGTAGATACTGTAAGTTATATAAATCATTGATCCTCTACTGATAATTGTAAACTAAACTAAATGCAAATAATAAAAGTAACAATGTTAAATATCAGTTTAGACTAACAAATTCAACCGTAATATTTTGCTTCAAAAATAAGCCGTATGGAACCCGATAGTCTCACCAAAAGTGCAAGCTTCCGCCATCTGTTAGCAAAATAATGAACTAAACGTTGGCGTCGCCAATGAGAAGACAGTAAATGTAATTTAATGTTTTTTACCGATATACGTCATCTTTCACGAGTGATTATACAATATACAGGTGTTGGCGGAGGTAATGAAGAGTTTACCTTCCCGGGGTCGTGTTTAGATACTGTACACTAAAATAAAAGACAACGGCAGGAGAAAACCTTAAACTTACGATAATTTTCCACCTTTAGTAGTCAAGTGAACCTAAATGACTTATTTGGTAAACATTTGGATATGAAATATTTGATATAGAAAAATGATACACTTATCTACATGGAGGTAGGATATATTACTTTAATAGGGTATTGATTAGAGAAGCAGGATATACCGTTGTTTATCAGGTCGGCAGGATACGTGATGCATTTGTGACTCGTGATATTTGGTATAGGTTAAGTAAGGACAATATTGCTAGACTATGTCACATTGTCTCATTAATGATCCAAGAGGCTGTTCTTACCGTGAGTCAAACGAGTATAGTGAACATTAACTAAATTCCATGTTATTTCTAAACTCAACTCCAAGGTGACCTGAAATTAAACTTACGTGTAATCTTACGGACTAATACCTAACTCAGTACCTGTACGGCTCTGAGCAAATCTGCCAAGGCCTTTCCTACCACCACCCACCACAACCACCGCCCCCGCCGCCTCCACCACCAACACACTCATACATTTTCTGGGTGTCTGTACCACCTTACTCTCTGAGGAATACAGAATCACTGTAGTCTAATGACATACTACAGATGATTTATACACTAATAAGACCTTATACGACTTTGCTCCAGCACCTTAACTCGTCCCTCCATGCTCCGGGTCCGTCTCTGTTCGCCTATATACGCAAGAAACACGAGTATGATACTAAGAATATATAACTTATACAAATGGTGTAGATGATATACAGACTTTAACAAGACTTTGTGAACACAGACTCGCTGAGGTGTTGACTTTGTGTTGTGTGGAGGAAGAATAATTATAAAGACTGACAAATATTTTAGATGTAAATGTTTGAGTATTTTAGAGACGTTTGCAATATCATATATGAGTCGAGGCTCCACCTTCCTCCTCTCATAAAACAAATTTACGGCCAAATACCTGGGCGTAATCACAGCTTGATATAGATGACGTAGATACTGTAAGTTATATAAATCATTGATCCTCTACTGATAATTGTAAACTAAACTAAATGCAAATAATAAAAGTAACAATGTTAAATATCAGTTTAGACTAACAAATTCAACCGTAATATTTTGCTTCAAAAATAAGCCGTATGGAACCCGATAGTCTCACCAAAAGTGCAAGCTTCCGCCATCTGTTAGCAAAATAATGAACTAAACGTTGGCGTCGCCAATGAGAAGACAGTAAATGTAATTTAATGTTTTTTACCGATATACGTCATCTTTCACGAGTGATTATACAATATACAGGTGTTGGCGGAGGTAATGAAGAGTTTACCTTCCCGGGGTCGTGTTTAGATACTGTACACTAAAATAAAAGACAACGGCAGGAGAAAACCTTAAACTTACGATAATTTTCCACCTTTAGTAGTCAAGCGAACCTAAATGACTTATTTGGTAAACATTTGGATATGAAAAATTTGATATAGAAAAATGATACACTTATCTACATGGAGGTAGGATATATTACTTTAATAGGGTATTGATTAGAGAAGCAGGATATACCGTTGTTTATCAGGTCGGCAGGATACGTGATCCATTTGTGACTCGTGATATTTGGTATAGGTTAAGTAAGGACAATATTGCTAGACTATGTCACATTGTCTCATTAATGATCCAAGAGGCTGTTCTTACCGTGAGTCAAACGAGTATAGTGAACATTAACTAAATTCCATGTTATTTCTAAACTCAACTCCAAGGTGACCTGAAATTAAACTTACGTGTAATCTTACGGACAAATACCTAACTCAGTACCTGTACGGCTCTGAGCAAATCTGCCAAGGCCTTTCCTACCACCACCACCACCAGAAAACCACCGCCTCCGCCGCCTCCACCACCAACAAACTCATACATTTTCTGTGTGTCTGTACCACCTTACTCTCTGAGGAATACAGAATCACTGTAGTCTAATGACATACTACAGATGATTTATACACTAATAAGACCTTATACGACTTTACTCCAGCACCTTAACTCGTCCCTCCATGCTCCGGGTCCGTCTCGGTTCCCCTATATACGCAAGAAACACAAGTATGATACTAAGAATATATAACTTATACAAATGGTGTAGATGATATACAGACTTTAACAAGACTTTGTGAACACAGACTCACTGAGGTGTTGACTTTGTGTTGTGTGGAGGAAGAATAATTATAAAGACTGACAAATATTTTAGATGTAAATGTTTAAGTATTTTAGAGACGTTTGCAATATCATATATGAGTCGAGGCTCCACCTTCCTCTTCTCATAAAACAAATTTACGGCCAAATACCTGGGCGTAATCACAGCTTGATATAGATGACGTAGATACTGTAAGTTATATAAATCATTGATCC